CCCGTGACGTCCCCTGTGCTATGGTGGGGCGAGCGGCCTGTGCCAGACTGGCTCTCTCCCTCCCCGCGGGGGTCTGGGCAGTGCAGTGTCAGCAGGGGTGAAAGGACGCAGGCAATAGGCAAGCTGGGTGCAGCCCCCGACCAGCCCAGGAATGGCACCTGCAGCTCTCCCTGGCCCTCTAGAGACCTCTCTGCTGCAGGCCAACCTGGGGTACCCTGTGTACACTGAGCGGGGTAGAGCCCTGGAGAGGTCCCTGACTCCCTGTAACACTGGCTGGGCAGAAGCAGCCGCCACCTCCCCTTGCAGGGCAGTGACTGGCGCTGGGGCTGGGTGGGATGGAGCAGTGGGGAAAGGTGCCCCAGGGCCGTGGAGTCCAGGGCAGGAGGCAGAGCCCCTGGTGCCCTCCCGCCTGAGTTTGCTTCACTTGGCCAGGCACCTGAGCCAGGGGCCGGCTCAGCCCCCAGTGCCTCACTGGTACTGCCATGGTCGTGCCCGCAGGGCATCAGACCCGTCGACCACGACCCTTCTGGCCTTAAGGGCCCGGATCCAGCTCGCACAGGGTGGGGCTGGCGACCCCCTGGGGGCGGAGCTGAGCACCCAGAGCAGGAGAAGCCACCAGTCCTTGCCCCCCACCTCCACGGTGCTCTCAATAACGGTTCAATGGCACCACCCAGTGGCCAGACGGGTTAGCCACAAGGACCCTGCAAGGGCTGGGGAGAGGTTTCTTGCCCTCCCTTTGGTGCCCCCCCCAGCTGGGGGATGGAATGGGGGCTCGTCACGTCACGTAACCTCCATCACGGCCTCTGCCCAGGGCACGACGGGCCGTGAGGCCCAGGGTCCATCTCCTCACTGGGGGCTGGGAAGGGGCAAAACGTCACATCCACAGGCGCCCACCAGCTTGTGGCTCTGCCCACCCCCTCACTCGGGCAGTGGCCTGTTTCCATCACACTCGCCCTCCCTGCGCTCACTTGCCACCGTGTGGGCTGTGCCACGGAGCCGCAGGATCTGTGCTACACCCCCTTGAGAACACCGTCCGTGTGCCAGACCCCCCATGGGGCTCGCTCCAGGGCAGGCCACGCAGCCTCACCGCCAGCACTGCTGCTCTGAGCCACATTTCACCATCGACGCCAAGGATTAGAGACCGGAAAGGCCTCACCAGGTCTGGGGCAGCCCAGGTCTGTGCAGTGTTGTTCCCTACAACCTGCTTTCTGGGCATATTGCTGAGGGCTGCCTGGCCCCGCGTTCTGAGCCCCGGCTGATGCTTCGGGAACGATGAAATTATTGTTGGATAGATTCAGTAGCTCAGGGCCGCCTTTCTGGTGGGTCGCTGTGACCGGCTGTTGGGCAGGTAATGTCAGGTGGGTTGTGACCTCAGGGCTGAATGCAGGGGGTTTAACGCCTGAAGCCACTGTGGCTGAAACCAAGAGCCTGTGTGCGACTGTGACATATGGTGCTTCCTCTAATCCCCCAAGCCAATCGCCTGAGCCCTTTGGGACAGGGCGCTGGCCGGCCTCAGGGAGGGAGTGACGCCAGAACTACCGTAGTTCCAGGCAGTGCTGTCTGTTGGAGTGGGGGTCTCGGAGCTGCTGTGACGTGACAGTGCAGCCTTTGGCTCAGCCTGGTTCTCCCAGGAGCTCAGCCCCTCCCTTGGGCTCAGGTTAGTATGAATGGAAGTGACTAGGGTTAGGGGCCATGGAGAGAGGGTGGGGTTAGGGCTCCCTGGCTAAGGATAGGCTGGGATTTGTGGGGCCCCCATGGGTAGGGCTAGGTTGCAGTCACTGGAGCTCCCCGGGTTAGGGTTGGACCCATAGAGCTCCCTAGATTCAAGTTAGGGTTGGGGCTAGTAGAGCTCCCCAAGCTCAGGTGAGAGCTGGGGTCTGTCCCCAGGCTGGTGCCAGGCTCAGGTGAGCGCTGGGGTCTCTCCCCAGGCTGGTGCCAGGCTCAGGTGAG